TTTCTTGAGGATCTGGATGTTGTAGGGCTGTCTTGGTTGACATTCCTTTGCAACATTGCATGGACATCAGGGGCATTGCCTCTGAACTGGGACACTCACTGTTGGTGGTTCCCCTTTCTAAGAAAGGGGGCCAGAGGGTGTGCTCCAACTACAAGGGAATCAAAATTCTTAGTAACCCAGTGAGCCACTGATAGAAATATATTCTCAAATCTCCTTTCTTATTATAGAAGACATTCCAACATATGCCGAGATCAACCGTCACAATAAAGCAAAAGCTAAGGAAAACCAGGGTAAGTAAAGCCTGCTATAATCTCCAGTGTTGAACTTGATAATTATTATAAAAATAATAATTTCTGATTAAAAATGAAGTCTTTTTTTCTTATTTGTGTATGCATTTTAGTTTATATGAATAATTTACTGTCATAATTAATGATTGTGAATTCTAAAATTGTGAATCTATTTTACTTTTTTTGTTTGTATGTACTCACAGTTTAAATCACTAACAAAAGCTGTGATATTGATGTTTGCTTGCCTTTGTCAATTGCCTGATTCTTTTTGTGTTGTGGATGTGTGTTGTTGTTTTGTTTAGGGGTTTTCTTTTTCCTTTCAATTTTTGGCCAACTGTATGCATCAGTTATTATTTTAAAGCAATATTTTAGTTTTATTATATGTCTTTATTCTGCATTAATGGTCCTTCTGAATCTCAAAGAGATTTTTTTGGTAGTTTCTCTTCTATCTGTACCTTACACAAAGAGTTGGTGCACCCATAGATTGTCTTATAGTCTAGCTTCTGCATTATCTAGTGTCTGTCCTGTCCTGTTCTAGGAAGCAGGGTTAGCTAACAGCTCTGAGTTGTAATGAGTGAAACTGGGGTTTTCTGTTCCAGAAAGAGTGTTAACTTCAACTCTTAGTAATGTAATAATTGAAATCACATGGATAGAAATGACAAAATAAACAAATAAATCCTGAAAAGGAAGAGCCCATAGCAAATTTATAGAGCTGATCTTGAAAAACCAAAATGTGTTTGGAACAACAGTTTATCACATTTAGTTAGGAACTGGACCCAAATGCAGGACTTTCCTGGTTGCGGCAGTGAATTTATTTAATGTGTTATTTATGTGTTAAAACAAACAGTGCGATTTCTTCCGTGGCAAAATTCCCGACTCTCGTGCAGTGCTCTCCTCCCGATCCACAGTGCAAGATTAATCCAAAATGACTTATTTACAGCAGTGCTCACTCCCTGCACTGAGCCACTGCGGACAGGTCAACTGTTGAGGACATGACATTGATTGCAAAAGCTGCCAGACAGGATAGGATTAAGAAAAAAATATATATATACTGTTGTCTTCTTTTCTGTTTTTAAAGATTGACATTCATATTGTGAATGTCAATCTCTTGTCATATCTTATTTCTTGGTCCTCTGTATTAAAATGAATGGTCTGCTATTTTTTTTACCCATTGACATGTTGAATTGCAGTATTGGGGATCCACTGATGATTGCTTTTTTCTCTGTTCATGCATGTGCTTAACACCGGGTGAACATATTCAGATTTGACTGAACTAACTCTGATCAGCTGTTCTGGAACAGAAGACACAGAGTTGCCAATTTCAGAGTTAATCAACTTATTGTTTGTTTTTAAAGTCTAAAAGTTTGATGAATATGCTTCCTGGAATGGTGCCACACAGGGGGGTTTAAAACAAACAAACAAACAAACAAACAAACAAACAAACAAACAAACAAACAAACAGCTTTGTGTAATAATAATAATAATAATGAAGAATATTATGAAATTCATATGATTTATGTCAACTTCTAAGGCTGTCCACAAGTTCAGCAGCTGTATATCATTGTTTTCTGTGGCATAAATGCATCCTGAGATCTCATTTCTTTTTTAGAAGACAGTCCAACTTATGCTCAGGTCAACCGCCACAATAAAAGACCATCCAAGAACAACCAGGGTAAGTAAAGCCTGCCATCCTCTCCAGTGATGAGCTTAAAATTTGACTGGAATAAATAACATGAAAATCTGCTTTACTTATTTTTTTACTTGAATGCATTTTAGTTTGTATCACTAATATGTCATACTCTGTATTTGTCTCAGATACAATTGAGAACTAACTTAATTGACCTGTGAGTTAAAGACTTACTTTTTATTATGAGTTTACAGCTAAGCCTTTTAAATAATATTTTCTCCAGTCGCAGTAAACTCGAGTCATGCATCCGCTGATGAAGCAGTTTATTCTGAAGTTAAATTAGGAAGTGCCCTCTGTAATTAAGCTAACATGACTGTTATATTTAGTGATTTATTTGTATTCTTTAGCTCATAATATTGTTACTAAATGATAATCCCTATGTCCTTTTTGTGGCTGTTTTACAGGTCATTGAATTGTAGCAGTAAAACCAACCTCAAGCTTCTTATACAGAAATGTCTGTAGCTTGTTCAGTATTTTGTACAGTTTTTTTTAGTGATAGTCATCATCATTATAATATACATTATACAATATATATAATATATGGTACAGACAAGGTGTTTTCATTTAGTGTTCATATTATCTGTATTCACTTAATAATAAAACATGATTTAAAGTTAGCTTTTGCAGTGTAACATAAGATAGGTTCCTCTGGGTACAAAGAAATACTATAAATGCATGTATTGAAAGTTTTTGAACATTACCTAAAAGAGGTCTGATATAATACTGTATGGATTTAAATGTGTGAATAAATGCATTTCTTCATGAAAATTGTATGCAGTTATAGTTTGGGTTTTTATCTTTTTTTTATTTTGGTCTGAGCAGTGTTTTTGTTCTATCATGATATAGCTGTTCAATATAACTGTAAAAATGTAAAGGATTTATCTTTTGTAACTTTCAACTAAATGACCATATATACAATATGAATAGCAAATCATAGAGACAGCTTAAAGTTAATAGATATTTAGTACTGGGGTTCTATTATTTTGAAAAATGAGTGTTTAGAAAATCCAATCAGAGTAAATTCTCCGCTACAAAAATTTTCCTCTTTATTGGACCTAATAATTTGCTCATGCACTGATCTTCACTGAAAAATACTATTTTCAGACCAAGACTCTCAAAATCTCAAAATTTTGGCAATCTGGGTTGGTCAAAATTCAACCAAGCAACTTTTTTCCCCCGCAGTTTTGAGACCAACTGAACAGCTTTATCCTTTCATCTCTGCATATAATGTTGGAACACCTGGGCTTGAGGTACCCCTGTTCTGAGTGAGCTTGGTTATAAAAGTGCCCTCCTTTCTGCAGTCACACCTCTCCATTGCTCTCTGTCTGGATTTTTGTTTAAAGCCTTCTGACTTGGACAAGCCAGGATATAGCATGATTTCTTGAGTAATTTTTTGTTGCTTTCTACATGCTTTGCTATGCATCCTGCATGATGGGAAACACTACAACATTTTGGTGTTGCTCCAATGTAGTGTAGTGTACACTTTATGTAGTCCTGTATTGATTTACTGTTTTATGTAGCACCAAGGTCTTGGAGGAATGCTGTCTCGTTTCACTGTGTACTGAACCACTGTATATGATTGACATGACAATAAAGCCACTTGACTTGAGTTTATATGTCTGTAATTGTTAGATGGGTTTTTTTAGGCTGTAAGCTGTAATCATCAAAATTGTAACAAATGTAAACAATGAAATATTTAACTTTACACGCAATTCAATTAAGTTTTATTTTTAAAGCATCAAAAACACAAAAATAATAATACAGGAACAACAAAAAAAAAGTCAGACCACCCCCTCCAGAAAAACTTATTTTTAATAGGAAGAAATCTCTGAAATACAAACCTAAAAAATAAATAAATCACTCACTCTACTCGACTATACAGCTATAGCTCTTTGTCCCATATTTCCCACGTCAATCTTATAAGACAAAGCACAGTACAATGATGGATTGTGTTTACAGCAGATAGCCACTAGAGGGTGATATTATGTCGTTTATAATTTATTGAATCTATGTTAACCTTTGGCAGAAATGGTTCCAAGACCTATCAGTCAGTGTTTGACTGCAACCTGTCTGCTGAACCCTGCAGTATCACAGTAACAGCTTAGTACAAATTACATTTCTGAAAGCTTTACAGTGTATAAATGTTGTGCCTTTTTCATAATGCTGCAGCATCAAAGTGGAAACATTTCTCACAAGTACAGAGACACTTTCCCCATTTTCAGTGTTGTATATCAGGATGGGACATGCTTTGTTCTGTGCATCTGGGTTGGTTTGTGAGTATACTGAATATTTACATTATGCAATGTCTATTTTTGTATAAGTTTCTTTAAGAGCGCAGACAGTATGGTATTTTTATCCATTTCACTTCGATCACCTTTTAGTTAATGCAGGGTAGCTGGAGCAGGTGTAACACTTAGTAGTGACATTGTTAATTACACACAATACTGTCATCAGTAAACCACCAGGAAGTTTTAAATGCAAGGTTAATTTTAAGTTTTATAAGTATTAACTTCTATTTCAGTGCTGAACACACTTCTGTCTTGCGGAGAAGCTGAAGGTGATTGAATGCTTTTTCTTTCGTTTCTGTTGCATCACTTTAGATAGATATATATCACATAAAAATACCATCAACCATATTTTATTTGCAGAATTACTGCCAGTTTAGGCAGTAATTCTGCATCTTATTTCTTTAACACAAACACTACTTATGCGTGCTGTGATTACTCATCTTTGCTACTTGAGCAGTTTCTTTGACAATGTATTGTGACAAGGAACACAAAACTAACGTAGTTACTAAAGATTGTGTAAAAAAAATGACAAAAATATATTGAAGAACTGCTGAGTATTATTTGCTTTACTTACGTGGACATGCATGTGTTTGTTCTGAAAGATAAACCCAAACCTGATCTCAGTGTGTCTTCATCATGGCTGAGTCCTGGGGCATCAGTGACTCTACACTGCAGTGTTAGAAATCACTCTGCAGAATGGAGGTTCTACTGGTATCAGGCTTTTTTCAAAAATTCAAGCAAGGCCTACTACTTTGAGCTGCTACCAGGTGGTAAAAATGGAACTGCACAAAATTCCTACATTGTTCATGGACAGAAACAGACGGCAGGATATGCATGTAGAGCTGGAAGATAACAGCCAGAGCATTTCACTTCGGACAGCAAACCTGTATTTGTTTGGTCTGCAGGTAAGTTTGAATGTAATATCATTGCCATGGTGCATAACAATACAGCTTCTGTTAATACAGTTACTTCAAGAAACATTTA